AGCCCGCATCACCCATTGCATCACTAAGGATATGCTGAGGATGCACAGCGCTCCTTGAAATTTGCTGTTGTTTCAGAAACGTCTTTTTCTCTACTGTTTATTTTTTGTTGAGTAATATTTTTTGTTCTTTTATATATTTCAGCATTCTTAGTAATTTTGAAAAAAAAAAAGACTTATTGGGGAAAATAACATGCATGCAGAGGTGTGGGCTGCACATGAGAGAGAATGCTAAATCTCAAATAAGGCTGGGTCAATGGGTAACTGTTCAGAAGGAAACCAAAATGACACTGCAGTCTCATATTTAAAATTGTCCCAATAAAATTGCTGGTTAATGCGCTTAATCAATGCGGCAAGTCTGGTTCCTGAATTCATTACTCCCCAGCTGGGAAGATGGCAGAAATTTGGGAAGATTGTTTCTAATTCCATGTGCTCTGTGTATGGATTTATTTTTTATGTGGAGAGGGTGGGAAATTTGCCTAGTGTAACAAACCCAAAATTAATTTTAGGGCAGCCCAAGCACAGGATAGGCCCTGATTTATAAGCATTTGTACAAATGGAGCATGCGGGTCCTTAGGCTGAGCCCTGTGCCAATGTTAGGATGTTTGGACTATGCCATCGTGTGGGCTGGAGTCGGGCTTGCTGGTTGGTTTGTTCTTTGGTTTCCTCATCTGGAATAAGGGAAACGTTTAGAGTTTTCATCATATGGGTAAAGCTAAATCAAAATGATAAAGCATTTCATTCCAGACTGGGGGCATCCACACAAGAATAACTGTTCCAGAATAACTTATCGCATAGGCAAACTAAAAAAAAAATATCTATTTTAACCAGAAAAATGAAGGAGGTATAAAGCTCTGGGTGACAAGAACAGCTCCTGAAAACACATGAATCGCAGATCACAATAGGCTCTTTAAGACCTATAGAAATGGTAGCGCTGTTTTGGTAATGACACATCATGATCCCATCTATATGTGCATATACTATATTTATATTATATACTTGTATATATTCCAATTATATATATATAAAAATCCAATTTACTGGTGTGGGCTTTAATTAAGAACTCTGACTTGTAATTTTTAGTAAAATAATATGATAGAAAGGAATGTAATTTATCAAAGAAACACTGCTGAATTTATGACAAGAACAGGAAGATAATGGGATTTCTGAAACTGTACGAATGCTCTTCGCAGTGATTTGAGAGGGCAGGATATGGGGGAACTTAACTGAAAACGAGTTATCTTTCTTCCTGAGATTGTTTTAAATCTAATCTACTTGCAACTCTCATTTTATGGATGCACACGGATTCTTATATGAATACTGAATTTTTTAGATCATTTATCGTAACAAGTAGTTTTTGCATGGAAAAGATCTCATGCTGCAGACCTCTATTACTAACAATATATTCTTTCACAGTGCCAGCCTTTATTTCTCTTTAGTGAAAGCTTTCTATCAAATTCCAAACTTGAATTAAAACTGCTGTTCTGACATGTGAAACATTGCCTCATCACTCTGGAGGTTTGTCACATTTTTTTCCCTTCCTTTTATTTAGGCCATGTGTAGAGTCCCCCCAGCTAATGCACGCACAGGTTTTGATGTAAGTGCTTGCGGTATTTTGGAAAGCACAACAGACATGTGACTGGAGAGGGTAGTTCATTTATGTATAATTAGGCATAAAGGCTTGACAGGTCTTCTCGTGCTCCTCTCGTGCATGACAACCTGACCCCAGTGGACTTGCTAATGAGCAGAAATGAGTATTTCTGCCTTCAGCCCAGGTCAGCATTAGGATCTGCCTGTTTTGCAGCTGCATAGTGAGGTGGGGGAGTCCTGGGACGGACACCCAGGCAGCGCGGAGGGGGTTTGTCCTTCTCCTCCCTGCCGGTGGGTTTGCTGGGGTTGAGAGTTGGGCAAACAGTGTGGTCCTGGGGAGAGGCTGCGAAGCTGCTGGGCAGCTTGGAGCTGCGTGGTACCACCCCTCCCCAATGAGCAATATTGAACTTGGCTGCATTTTCTAGGAGCCTGAGCTGAGGTTAAGCATCCACGTGCTCATGTGCATGACTGTTTAATGAATATTGTCTGGGGCTGTGTTACCGTCGATGCTGATGGCGCAGGTCGTGTGAAGTCTGCAGCATGCTGGCTCTGTAACTGCGTTCCCTATGCAGGAAGCATGGGTCTCATCAGGCTTGCTTTTACCTCGTGACCTTGGTGCTCTCTAAGGCAATCTACAGTGACCCAGTAGGGTTTTCTACTACTACAGGAGGATTCTGTCATTTTTTGGGACCCTTTTCCAGCTGCAGAGCTCAGTCACTTTGCATGATGTTTTTCAGTTGGAGGCAGTGTCCTGTGTATAATCTATCTGTTTTTTAATCCATTGCATCCTGCAATAGCCTCAGTGGGAAGGTACAGCAACACAGCCTAAAAATGTCCTCACGTTGTTCATGTGTCCCCTTAGAGGAATAAACCTCAAAAGACCTCAGTTGTCCTCTGTGTTGCAAATGGCTCTGGCAGGCAGTCCGAGCAGTTGGCTCCCCAGGTATTCTCCATGAAGCATCCTTTTATTCATTTGGAAGTTTTCCTACTGCTATTAACCTCATTTTTGGTACTGTTAAGGGACTCCATCGCACATGGGTCAGAGGTGGGGCAGCTGGGGAGAGCATTTAAGCATGGCTGGGAGGGGTTTTTCACCTGCAGGACCCCCGGTGCCTGTCTTGCTCAGGTGTCCAAGCCAGAAGGTGCTGCTTTGCACATCCAAACACCACCTGCACCCTCTGCTTTGGGCTTGTAACTTCAGCCTGAGCCCTGGCATTTTCTCCGCATGTCACCCATGCTTCTTGCTGAGCGGAGTGGAGTCAATCACACCCCAGGGCTGTGCTTCCAGTGACTGCTTGCTCTCTGCTTTAAAATATTTACTTCATTTACCGCTTCTGCAATGTATCTGTTTTGGCTGGGCTAGGAGCCACATGCTATCAGAGTTTCTTCCTCTCGGAGGTAATTGTAGACCGTGGCTGAATTATCCCTACCACCTCTTGGGAAAACTCCATAGCCTGAGCTACGAAAGCCTCTTACTATCAGGCAACTTTTCCAGAGCCGCTATAACTTCAGAGTCTTGTCTGAATCCTTCATATATTTTCAAGACTATCCTTGAAATATGGTCACCCGAGCTGCTCACAGCATTTAGCAATGGTATCTTGGATACTGGATGCTGAAATAACACCATTTCCCTGCACTTGCTTGTTAATCTCCTATTTATGTTGCCCTGGATTGCTTCTTGCCTCTTAGTAACAGCATCACATGAGGAGTCCATGTGTGGCTGGTTCTGTACAAACCTCCCCATTTCCTTTTCTTAACTGTTGATGCCAAAATACTGTCGTCCATGTTATTAGCATGACCTAATGTGTACTTGGTCCTTAGACAGGCAATGTGCCATCTGCAGCTATTCAGAGCACTTTGCTCAAATAAATTGATATTACCCAGCTTTCCACATGTGTTCCTGTCAGTAATGCTGTTCCTGGCACCCAATACTGCCATGCACGAACTGTATCAGTAATGATTTTGTGTATTTCCCAGATAATTGAATAATGTACTGAATAAGGTTGGATCAAGGACAGAAACTGTTTGGCTATTTGTCTGTTTATCATGTACCTATTGGTTAACTAGTTTTAAAATAATCTGGGTACCTTTATTTTGTATAAAACACTTTTAGATTGAAAATCTACTGCCCATGGAAGTCTGCTTCAGGCTTAAGTCTCTGTCAAGCAAAGTACTGATGCAACCAAAATACCTGGTTTATTTGACATTTTATTTTCCATGGTTGATGATGATATGTAGATTAGCTGACCTTTAGTTCCTGGATACCCCACTGATTTATAAGTATTGGCTTATACTGAGCTTTGTCCACAGTCCCCAGATGGATCTTGCTATATTTTTTGAATGTATTAACAGTTGGCATGAACTGCTCAGGGCTCTCCTTGGCCGACTTGTCTTCACGTTTGCTAGGAAGTAATACAAACCTGCTTGTTTAAGAGTTTGTTTAATGAGAGGCTTTCATAAGAGAAGGGATTCTGGCCAGAGGTCCGGGTCCCAGCAGTACTGTGAAATACACTGTGAGTTAAAATATAACAATCCTGCTGGTGAGAACTAGCGGCTTTAACTGGCCCCAACTCTGAGTGCTTCTGGATGGGTTTAATTCGGCTGGCTTGTGGCTCTGCTGGCTTGTGCCTGTCCCGGCTCACTCCCTCCCCAGCGCATCTAACCAGAGGGAGAGCAGCATGCCGGCAGCGAGTCGTGTGGGCAGCGCGCAGGCTGACCCTGCTCAGCCTCCCTTCCTGGGGAGGGATGGCTCTGCGAGGGGCAGTTAAGGGCTCAGGCCACCTCTGTGCCTGCAGGCTCCCAGCTTAACCTCTCCCTGGCTCCTTTAATAGTGAAACAGCCCGGCTGCTCCTTAGGGTCTCTAATGGGTGTGACTGAGATGCCAACTGAAAATTTTGCTGCAAATCACCAAGTGTTGATAATTGCCCACAATTGTTCTGAAATGGATCCAGATCTGAAATGAGGTTATTTTGCACGTGATCTGTTCTATATTCACTTAAGCACCTACAGCGAATTATTGCTTCTACAAATAGCGGGGACTGAAGTGGCCTGATTTGGGGTTTCTCCGTCAATACTAACGAGCTTCTCTCTGCAGCTCCCTCAGCGAGAGCACAAGTAATACTGGCTTTCCCGCTCCTCTGGGGTGTGCATCTCTCAGTTGCAGTGGCGGAGCGAGCCTCAGCGGGAGCCAAGCGAGCAGCTCACCAGCTCCTGGGGCACTGCATTCAAGCAGCCTGTGCCTAAAAATAAAAAGCCACCTTGGCTGTAGATGCAAAAACACTGTTACCCGCCCAGCCAAGCCTGTAGCCGTGCCTGGGCAGAGGCAAAGCCACTGCCCAGGTCAGCAGCGCTGGTACATACGTACCATGCATAGGCAGTGCTGCAGCGTAAACCCCAGCTGCTCAACGGCACCACAGCCACCGCGATAAAACACAGGATGGAAACTGCTTGCCCTTTGGGCATGGTCCAAACACAGGGAATATTTGGCTTTATTTCTACAGCATGTGCTGCTGCTGCTATTTGTGTAGCTGGCTGCCTGAAAAGAGAGGGCACAACGTAGCTTGTGGGGCTCTGCTGAGCAGTATCCTGGTCTTTCAGGAGGAATTTGGCTCATTCTGTCCCTGCTAGGGATCTTCTGCGTGAAGATTGTTCAGTATTGCCTTCAAATCAGGCAGTACCTGCCAGGGCTATCCCCTGGAATTTCTTACTGCCAAATCCGCCAACAGAAGAGGCATATTCACATCAGTAGAAAAAGAAAATCAGGAGAATTAAACCAAGAAATACAGGTGAGAAGGGAAAGGTGGTTTTTAGAGTCCTGCAGCTGTCGTAAAGCGCTCTGCTGATGTGCCAATCCCCTGCGATGCACAGCATATTGTGAGATGGCTCAGCTTAAAGGGGTAGCGGCAAATGATCTAAAAGGCTGTCTCCTTTTGTGTTCTTATTTCATCCCAGTGTATTACAGGATTATGTTCAGGTTTTTCAGTGGTCTCCTGGGTAACACTTTATTACAGCGACGGTGTGGAGTTCTAGTTTGTAATAAAGAGATCTATATAAATAATATTGATTCTGCTGCCTCCTGTAATGCTTCCTGCCTGGGAACACTCAAAAGCCTTTTGCAAACAATTTCCTATTACTTGGGGCAGAGAAGCACCTCCAGGTACTGCACAGACCATTGCAGCAGTGTGTTGTGTTGGCCAGCTGCCTGTAAAAGCCATTATCTTTGAATCATGGGCTTCAAACAACTGAGGGTCTTTTTGCACCTGGAGTGAGTAATTAAAATAATTGCTTTTATAGTTGTTTGTTTCTTTCATTTATCATTCTGAGGTTTTAAAACAGATGCCAGATAGTATGAGACTAACTTACAAGAGCTGAAGATGCTGTGAGGGAAGCTTGAGCCTTGGAGAAGACACAGGTGAAGGTTGGTAGAAAAGGGTGATTGTGGTATTTCATGGATTATAACTTGATGTGCAAAGAGGTTAAGGAGGCTGTGACCCAGCTGACTGCAGTGCTGTGTCGAGGACAGGCACTTTGGCTCAGAGCAGCATCCTTGGCACCATAATATAGCTTTCCACACAGTGCTGCACTGTGCTGGGTGAATCTATAGTCAGATACTCAGGGACAGGGTAAGGCCCCCAGGTAGCCAGGCTCAGTTTGGGCATCTGTGTTGCCCTAAACTCCCTGTGCTTGGTCAGGGAGAGGAGGATGAGCTGAGTCCCCAGGACTCCATCCTGCTCCTCCCTGGGGAGCTGGGGTGTGCTGTTACCGGTGGGTGCCTGGTGGGAAAGGGTGATGCTGTGCTGGATGTGGAGCAGAGCCGGCAGCAGAGCCCGAACGGCACGTGTGGCACTGGCAAGAGAAAACAGCAACGGCAATGAACCGAGTAAAGGTTTAATGGATTTCTTAGAACCACGCTTTATAAGGGCCTGGTTGTCAGGATTTGCGCTGTATTGACATGGGTTCTCAAAGAAATGAGGACTGGGTTGTATAGCAATGGCTGTCACTTTACTTGGCTGACCTACCATGCTTCCTCCTTTCAGGGTAACATTAAAATGAATATCATATAGCGGAGAGTGCGGTATAATTGGCTGGAGACAATGTATGTGCTGTGCTGCTCTGTACAATATTGATTGCTCCTTGTCCAAATACATGTATCTGGAATCAGTCCATTAAGCGGCAGCCCCGTTGGGCGGATGCCAATCTTTTCATGCTGCAGTGGCTTTCACTTTGCCTCGGCTGTACTAGGAGCCCCGTAGGCGATCTGCTGGCACACCGCAGCCTGGCGCTTGGGGGCACGTGGCCACGGGGGGGTGTGTGTGTGTGTCAGCGCCCATCGTGGGCCCCCAGCCGCTGCCTTTGTGGGTGAATCTTCTTTGTTCTGCTGGGGATCTCCGTCCTTGCACGGGTGGTATCAACTGTATAGTGATGTTGTGTGGCAGTAGTGCTGAGTGCCGCATGCTCTTCAGGGCTTGCGTGAGGCTGCAGCTAAATCCCAAAGGAAAACTCTGCTCTTTTTTTAGACAGATGAATTAAGGGGAAAACCCGTCGTGGCTTGGCAGAGCCCAGCCAGCAGACATGCTAATGCAGAGATGAGTCCTGGAGGTTGGCAACATGAGCAGGAGCGACGCAGATGCTGTCAGGGCACGTCTACGCCACAGCATGCTGCACAGCTGCCTCAGCTGGTTCAAGATAGTAAAACTAGTTGTGCAGCTGCTGGGCAGGGTAGCTGCAGCTCGGTCATGCTGGAGCTGTCATGTGTGATGCTGCACTGGCCTGTGTGCTGCCACGCACCTATGCACTGCCATGTGCAGTCTGCTCCCCTCCCAGGCTCCCTGCCAAGCCTGTGGGATTAACGGCAGCACAGCTCACACAGGCTCATTGGTGGCTACTGAAGTGCCTTATTCTGGTTTTTTTCACTACCTTTTACCACTTAAAGGCTCCTAAATCTCTGCATTCAGAGAAGAGCAGTGCTGCTTTTCCACCAGTGCAGAAGGGATGCGGAAGGAAGGTCCGTGATACTTTTCTCCAGCCTTCACCTCCAGTCTAACTTAAATCTCTGCTTCTTACTCGGCAGACTGAAACGCGTTACAAGCCTTCCCCAAGCAGTTTTCAGACTGAACACAGAACACGTTACCAGCGCCGGCAGGTATAGTGTGCACCAACAGGCACGCTCGATGGATGCAGCTCGGGGCTGTTTGCGCTGCTGCAGGGTTTACAGCATGCTGCAGAGCAGAGGGGCTCAGCTGCAGAGCTTGCTGTACCCGGCGGCACCGGCTTCACGCTGTAATGCAAAGCCACTCGACACCACACGCTGCAGCTATTTGGAACTGAGGCCCATATATTCCTACATCTTATTTTATATATATGTACACATACATAAATGGGAATCATTCCTATCTTAAATTTAAGTAAACAATTTCTTTTCTCCTGCAAACATTAGTGTCCTAGCAGATCCTACAATAAATTAATCTTCTTTATCATCTAGTTAATTGGTTCCACAAAACCAGTGAACAGTGAAATCTTCTGACCTATTGACTGATGTATAATGTTGTATTAGTAGATAGCGAATTACAAGAGCCGCTATGCGCTTTGGTACTGCTGCTGAATTTGTGCTACAGGGAGCTATTTCAGGGTTAGTGTCTTAGCCTGTGCGTTGCATGTAAGAGCAGTGTGTAAAGGTCTGGGGGAGAAGGACGACTTCTGCGGAGTTAAAGCTCAAACAGAGAAGAAAAAAGAGTGTCTGCTGTCTTCCTCGCCCCACACCATCCGTTTTAGGTAGAGAAGAGCAATATGCTGCAATGTGACAGACTGCTAGAATCAACAGCTGAACTTTTAAATAATACAGAAATGACGAAGAGGCTCGATTATTGACTCTCGCAGAGCTGTTGGTGGCAGTAATGGATGTTGGGTTGGGGCTTTGGGTTCATCTCACCTGAGGTTTGGCATTTTATTCCCTGAGATGGGACACCAGTCTCCCTGGGCTCACTCTGCTGCAGGAAGCAGAGAGCGAGGTGTGCATCTGGGTTGTTATTCAGCCCACCTCAGATGTTCCTCCCTCTGTAGTTTGAAGGATGCAGTGTGTGGGCTGTGGGCATTTAACACTTCAAATTAATGTTTGATATTTAGGTGGGATGCATATGTGCTTAGGTACGCAATCAGTTTTTCAGCCTCCTGCCTGTGATCTGCTGACGTGAAAGGCTTAGTTATAAACTGTGTGTGTTTGGGCTACAAATAACGCTTTGGGGCTACCCAAAATTATGTTGTTTTAATACAGCAGCTGGCAATAGCTGAAACTCCTCTAGCTACTTTTTCCCAAGACAGTGTGGGGAAGGAGAAAAAGCAGAAAAGGAAACAGATAGAATAAAATATCCCTGTGGTACTTTTTCTATTAAAAACCTACCAAAAGTTGCGGTGGTATGTTGAGACAAAGGGCTGAGCCCTCAATGTCATCCAAGGCAAACAGCACAGAAAACTATTAATCCCTCTGTGTTGCACCGACCTTTTACTCGCCCCCATCTTTTTCCTCATTTCTGTGATGTTCTGTGTGCTGCATGATGTCACATCAGCCTGCAGGGCTGTGGGGAAGGGTGGGCAGTGTAAGTCCCAGCTCTTGATTTCAGTTCAGATGTTTGAGGCACACAAGTAACACATGGAGATAAACCACCAGGGCAAACAGAAATCTTGTCTCTGTGCTGGGCTCCTCCACAGCTCCGAACTGTTGGTTTTGTCCTGCTGTTGGTTTGCTCCTTTGAGGAGCCAGTACACCCTTAACCTCCATCTTCTGGCTCCTCAGCCCTCCATTGCAAGATGCTGTTTGCTCATGCCTGTGTTTACTTGCTGCTAGCTCCATGCTGCACATCAGGGAACTCAGAGCTGGTCAAAGCTGGTGATGGCGGAAGAGAAACAAATCTTTGGCCTGATTTTTCTCACCCCCTTTGCTAAGGAGCAGACTTTGGGCAGGGAAGCTGTGCCTTTCTGTGATGCTCACATGCCACTACTTACAGCAGGAGAAAAGTGCTCCTCTTTGGCTCCATGACTCTGTTTTGGCTTGTCGATCTGGCGAGACTTTTCTTGAGGGGAGGTAAGGGTGGCTCATTCACCAGGCACATCCCATCCCCAATTCCTCCTCTTCTTCCTTCCCCCGGTGCTGAGCCATTACATCTCTCCCCACCAGGAGGAGGACTGAGACCGACAAATCCTATGGGCTGTAGCTGAGCACAAGTCTCTCAGCTAGAAATAATGCCTGGGAAGGATTTACCTGAGCTTTGCTAGATAAAACTTTAAGTTTTGGTGGGGGTTAGGGTGCACATCTACAACGTCTGCCTGTGAACTAATGGTGGAGGAGGAGAGAAAAGCCTGACACCTTCTGAAACTCTCTGCAGCCTGGGCGCTGAGCACACAGGATCCCACTGCTCCTGGGTGGATGGGCAGTGGTGGGATATGAGGCTGCGTGACATTGTCAGAGATGGAATATAGGCAAGAAAACATTTATTCCCCCTTTTAAATGGGAAAGAACAGCAACTTTACTTCTTGCTTTCACGTGGTAAGTAATGGATGGAGAAGGTTCTCAGGCACAACATTTTGTGTGTGTTGAGACAAGTTGCAAGAACTAGAAACTTTTGTGAATTCTGGCCCAGTACAAGAAAAAAGCTAGAAAGGAGTTAGGAAAACATGTTAATCCTCATCACTGTTTGGCCAATGCACTGTATTGCTGCTGAGACTCAGGCACGGTGCTTTGTGCTGACATGAGCTAAGCTTCCCAGGAGCAACAGCACCACCAAACACCCCTCAAAGTAAAGCGGAAAGGAAAGGTAAGATAGAAAATGCTCATTACTTTGACTAACATGAGTTTTTTGCTAGGGCTGTTTTTGGCTGAGAGTCTTAATTCACCACATTGCTCTGCAGAAGGGATCCTCATGCACAGGAGCCATTTGTGTAGAAAAAGGGTCTCTTCCCAATTCTACCCAGTAACTTTTGCAACCACATACGGTCTGGTTTTTAAAAGCTTAAAATGTGGAGAGCATCAAATAGCAATTCAAATAATAAATCAATGTAATCTAATGAGAAATTACAGAGAATAGAGCTGGACTCTCTTCAGAGCTGCACAGCGAAGGGCAAGGGCAGTGAGCAGTTTGCAGCAAGTGAAATTCTGGTTAGATAGAAAAAAATGTTCTCATTGTGAGGGTGGTCAGACATTGCCACAGGGGCCCAGGGAGGTGGTACAACCTCTGTCCTTGGAGACACTCAAAGCTTAACTGGCCACAGCCCCGAGCAACCTGATCTGACATTGAAGTTGGCCCCACTGTGAGCAGGGGTTGGAGTGGGGACCTCCTGCCAACCTCAACCATTCTCTGCTGCTGTGATTTACAGGAGCAAATTCTGTTATTGTTAAGCTATCATTTTATAGATCTATTTTTATCATGAAAATACATTGCTTCATGAGCAGTGGTATCTCTGAGCATTCATTATTCAGAAAAAAAATTGTCTTCCAATTACACAAGATCATAAGAAGAAAAGTGACTGGTTTGTCAGAACTGCAGAGCTAAAATAAGCTGCAGCAAGCACATTTCCTTGGCATGGAGCTGGTGTCTCTAATTAGAAAAGCTCTGGAGAGTTAATCTACTTGGGTAGTGAGACCTATTGATTCCTCCTGCAGCATGTGAGATGGCTGGAGCTGAGCATCTCAGTAAAAGGCCTGGAGGCTGGGCTTCAGATAATGAATATCTCTTATTTGGGAACTTTATATATGTATGAATTTCCTAAACATTAGGTTTGGTGTGCTCCTGTCAAATGGCTGAACTGCAGCAGGGCTGGGAATTGACTTAGAGATGTAAATTATTTTAGTTAATAAAAAAAAAAAGGGCTGAAAGTCCTAATCTCTGGAAAGCAGTTGCTGCAGAGTGGACTAAGTTACCGTACCATCTAGCTGGGTGAAAGAAGTGTCCTCAACAGGCATGAATAGCTGTTGCTCAGAAGTGCCCAGGACTGGACTGGTTTCTTGTTTGGGGAAACCATGCCTCCACCCTTACAGATATATCAGCAGTAAGAGGGGAAGAAGTGGTGATAATTAGCCGAAACAAGCTGCTTCTGGGCCAATAACCTCACCCATGCTGCTAAACAGATAACCCTGATATTTCAGTAAATATTGAAGCTATCTCTGCTCTCATGCTAATGTTCCCCAGAGCAGGGGGAGCAACTAATCAGAGTTACAGCAATCAGTCAGGTTTTCCTTAACACATGATGAGTTTAATTATTTTGCAGTTCACTCCATGTTCTTGTTAGCCATGGTGATGTTTATTCTGGGAGGCTTTTCTGCCTGAGGTGGTACAAGGGTTTTAATTTCAGACAGGAGCTTACCAAGTTGGGTGTTTGGCCTGGACTCCAAATTTCAAGAGTTTCTGTGAAGCCCTAGTTAGCTTTATCAGACTTTATCAGTCCCGGTTCCTCTTCTGAGACATCTACCACATATGACAGTTTTGACGTGGATACTGATGTGCTAGAGTCGACTGATGAATGCCATTAGACAAAAATAGCCTGCATTTATAGGTGATTTGAACTAAACTGCTTGATTTAAAAGCAAAAGCCTTATCTGACTTGGCCAGCCCCTCCACTTTATCTCCTCCCCAGCAAC